TTCTCAGCTAAAGTGGTATTCGATTGTTTGACATCCCTTCCTTTCTCTATCCTTTCCTTTTCTGATTTCCTGTCGATGTTTTCTTCTGGCTCATTCTTTCCCTCTTTACAACGTAGAAGATTTACAAACAAAAAAGGAGGTGAGCAATAGCGCTCTTGGTGTACAATCAAAAACTCGTCAGCCGTCGAATTCTCAGCTATGAGTGGTATTCGAATGTTTGACATCCCTTCCTTTCTCTATCCTTTCCTTTTCTGATTTCCTGTCGATGTTTTCTTCTGGCTCATTCTTTCCCTCCACCGTCTCTTCCGCCGGTGTATCCACACTTCTCAGACATCTTCCACGTTTGCCTCTTCAAGTAGTTCCACTTCTGCTTCTTTCGCAAAGTCTCAATAAGTATCTAAACACTGCTTCACTGAACTAGCTACCTCTTCTAGCTACCTACTTCATCTTAGGTAAGAGCCGTCAACGCTGGGATGCGAACACCTTTCGTGATACAATGAACGACACCTGGTTATAGAACGTGATAACAGTTGATAACGACTCCACGATAGGCCGCGTTCATAGTTCGCGACTCCGTATCACCTGTATCACCTGTCGTCCCGTTGATCGTCGATTTGCTCGAGCGGGCGCCAGCAACGTCTCCATTCGTCCCTGTCGCGTGCTAGAGTGGTCCAGTGGATCCTCCTCGCTCGAGGGACACGAAGCCTTCATTCCTTTCGTTCAGAGCTTTCGTGAAGAAGTCTGACCATCGGGCCGGCGGTCGTCCAGGTGTTCGTTTGACGTCCCGAGGGATCCAGTCGGTAACCGCTCTGGTCCAACGGTCATCGCAAAATCGCATGACGTGTCCGGCCCACCTTATCTTCGATTCCTTGGCAGCGTCCCTGATCTTCGATCGTTGGCGTAGTTCGGAACTCCGGATTCCCTCTGCACTTGCGTGTATAGGGTTACTCCTAGCATCGTCCTCTCGACAGCGCGTTGGATAACGCTGACCGCATGCTCGTCCTGCCTGCGCAGAGTCCAAGTCTCTGAGGCGTAGGTTAGGGCAGGAAGGACAGCGGAATCGAAGAGGTGGGCACGGAGCCGGATGTTCTTCGTCTTCTTCACTACTCCCTCGATGTTCAATTCTAAACCTATTTCGCTCGTTTCCTCCTGCCAAGGACTTCTCACTCTTTAAAGTAGGGGAAATGTTGGCGAGGAATATGCTACGGCAAGTAGTACTTGCCGTAGCATATTCCTCGCCAACCGATCTAGAAAATCTGCTTGTTCGCTCGAAATTATAGTGTCGTCGTTCTTAGCTCTTTAGCATAAGCTTCAAAATCAACGCGTTCAATTTCAATTAGTGCTTTGTCTCACGTTCATACGACTTGAAGAAGGCCTTCGACTCTGTGGAGACAGAAGCGGTCATCGAAGCCTTGGGCAACCAGGGCGTCCCTACTCAGTACATCAAGATTCTTCGTGAGCTCTACAGCAACTTTACGACCAGAATCTCACCATTCTACAAGGAGGCTCATCATCGACGTCGAGAGAGTCGAGAGGACGACACCATCTCGCTCAGACCCTTCGTGTCGCTCTAGAAAACGTCATGCGTCAAGTTGGAATGGGAAGACATGGGAGTGAAGGTCGACGGCCGGCAACTACACCACCTTCGTTTTGCTGACGACATCGTTCTTATAACGCCGAACATCGAGCAAGCGGAGCGAATGCTGGCTGATTTCGACTGCGCCTGTGGTAAGGTTGGTCTACAGCTGAACCTAACGAAGACGATGTTTATGAGAAACGGATTGGTTCCTGATGCCCCATTCACGCTCAACGGAACGAACATCACCGAATGCTCCAGCTACGTGTACCTAGGTCGGGAAATCAATATGATGAACGATCTAGCTCCAGAGCTGAGCAGGAGGAAACGAGCGGCTTGGGAGCGTATAAGAACATCGAGGGAGTAGTGAAGAAGATGAAGAACATCCGGCTCCGTGCCCACCTCTTCGATTCCGCTGTCCTTCCTGCCCTAACCTACGCCTCAGAGACTTGGACTCTGCGCAGGCAGGACGAGCATGCGGTCAGCGTTATCCAACGCGCTGTCGAGAGGACGATGCGGAGTAACCCTATACCGGAATCCGGATTCGAAACTACATTTCACGATCGAAGATCAGGGACGCTGCCGTTTTCGCCAAGGAATCGAAGATAAGGTGGGCCGGACACGTCATGCGATTTTGCGATGACCGTTGGACCAGAGCGGTTACCGACTGGATCCCTCGGGACGTCAAACGAACACCTGGACGACCGCCGGCCCGATGGTCAGACTTCTTCACGAAAGCTCTGAACGAAAGGAATGATGGACTTCGTGTCCCTCGAGCAAGGAGGATCCACTGGACCACCTCTAGCACGCGACAGGGACGAATGGAGACGTTGCTGGCGCCCGCTCGAGCAAATCGACGATCAACGGGACGACAGGTGATACAGGTGACATAAGTGCTTGTTGAAGGCTCGTTCCTGCATGAGCTGGGAGTTTTTGAAGGTGGACTTCTTCCGGTGATTCTGAATGCTCTAACAAAACACCACTGCTAATGTATCCAATGGCTTGTTTGCCCATGTTGCTTCCTAACCTTGTCGACAGTGGAGCCACCAACGAAATTTGTGAAGTGAATCACTTATAAGGTACTGGGTTCTCGGGCTTGGGCCTGTGGCAGTCCATCATGTGTGCTCTCTAGATCGAAGTGTTTGTGGCGGACGGGTCTTCCACGCATTTGTAATCGATATAATTTAGCAAACTTCCAGGCAGCACTAAAGGCCGAGTCTAACTTTGTTTCGGGAGGTAGCGTATTGAAACTGGAAGTACAGGTGAGTCAATAATGATTCATAGATTGCGATCATGTGCTGAGCGTAAACATCTCGCAGATACTTCGGCGGCTTTCCAATAAACCGTACGTTGCTCAGCTGATACATTCTGGTAAACGGGAATCGTACAGCTACGTTGTCATGACGCTATTGGGAGAGAGTTTGCGACATATAACGAAGTATGAATACAGGCATCTACGTAAAGTTTGATTTTAGTAGAAATTCAGCTTTTCGTATTTAGGCGACTTGGCAAAATTTTTAGCGTTTCTACTCAAGTAAGAATTGGTATAAATGTTCTGTTCGGATTGAAGCAGATTCATGATGTGAGTTTTCACACGTGAAACGTAGCAAAGTGTCTTGAATTGGGTCAAAACTGTGTGCCAAAGTGTTCTGTTCTCATTTTTCTTACAATTCTTATACAATGGCTCACAAGGTCCAGTTCAGCTTTGATTTCCTAAAATCTTGCCGGACAACAGCCTGATAAGAGAAAAAGTCTGCAGCTTGGGCAGCTTACTTTGCAAGGCCCAAGCGCTCTTGTCGGTTGGTTTCCGTGCACGGGAACGCCACATTTGTGATTGTCCTCTAGGGGTCTATACTACAGACCGAAGAGAAGCGTTCACACGACCTCTGCCTGGGTTGTGCCTTTAAGATTAGGGACTTTTTGGGTAAACTACAATTTTCTGCAGCAACTTAATAAAATGCTGTTCAGATCGGATTCATACACAGAGATATAAAACCTGCAAATATGGCTATTGGACGAGTTGGATCACCAGAATACAGATTTATTCATATTTTGGATTTTGGGTTGGCACGAGAGTTCGTTGTACATTGCGATGGAAAATTGAGAATGAGACGACCACGTCAGAGAGCCCTCTTTAGGTGACATTTTTTTCTCTGTTTTCAGTGAATCTTAAACATGATCATGGTGGAGATTCGAATAATGTAATAATGGAACACGAAGGACCGTTGTTAGACTCCTGCACTACGCTGGCAAAAATTTGGGTCATTAATCCCAACCTTAAAGGAATCTTGCGCGGAAAAATCATGATTCTATTTCAGCCATAAATCACTGGCTTGAGACTCATTATCCACGATAATAGTGAAAAGAACTGAAGTATTGCTTTCGTTTTGATTAGAAATTCGAAAACTCGAAAAGGCTGCTACGCGTTCGAATTGCCCACGGACGTCTTTCACGAATGCTGGCGACGGGGATGCTCAAACTTGGTTCTTGGAGTGCATTCACTAGAAGCTCTTTCTGGCCTTCTGCTTCGTTGCATTCACATCTTACACTTCTACTCCATCCTATTCCATCGATCGATTTGTCTCCACTCTCCGAAATCGCGCGCTTTAACCCGATTCTCTCATTGCGTCGCCTGGTACGTAGCCGGCCAAACGCCGTCTTCTTTCCATGCCTCGCCTGGCTCTGCCTCCTGGTCCTTCGATGGTCCATAACGTGTAGTTTTTGTACGTTTGTTTCTCTTCAGAAACCGAATCTTCATGCGTGAAACTTTGTGTGCTATTTCCAGTGATCACAACTGACATATTCATGTTAGGAAAGAGTGCAAGAATTTTCCGCGCAAGATTCCTTTAAAGTTCCCATCCTTGGCTTTTATGATCGGAAGCATTTGCTTTTATAACTCTCCGGCATGACGTATCAAAGTGGTTCGTAGCCATTCACGCGCGCTCACCATCCTACGGGCTGTTCCCGGGGACAAGGTCTTTCCACAACACGAGCTTCACTGAGGTCTTACCCTCTACGGAGGACCTATTACGGCTCAGTACCTCTGTATTGTCTCTATGTCTTTATTGGCAGTAAACTCCACTCCACAACCCCTCTAACGCCGTCCTACGTCGGTTAAAATTCTACGAGCGTGTGGATGATGCCAGTCATCAAGTTTCCATCAGTGGTCCGTTAGAGATAGATTCACTCATTCGGAGCTTGTATGGAAACCATGTCCATCCCCTACCGTGACGGGCTTCATCCCATGGTGGCCCATTCAAGTACGGGAAGAAAGGAAGAAAGAGAAAGAAAATCGAAAAAATGAAAAATGTCCGAAGCAGAGGCGATTGAAAGACGAAGTCACTAGTGGACGACTTACGCTGACGAGAATGTTTTGAAACGGCAACGACTTTGGCGTTACATTAAATGGACAGGAGGCGACGGGCATTTCCTTGCTCAGCTAGTTAGAACAAAATTTACACACGCGAGAGGACGCGCGCCATATGTGACATCATTTCGCCCAAAGACCTGCTTTAGATAGGGCCCTCCTCGTACTTAGTCTTGGCAGCAGCCATAACCACTGCGGTGAGGAAGTAACTTTTTTTCGAATGGGCTGTAGCTCAGTTCACAGCCGGGCCGAAAAGGGGTGCTTCGCAAAAGCTCGAAATTTTACAGGAAGGCGAGGTAAACGGGAAGCAGGCATGCCTCCACATCCAGCTAACTCTATCGGGTCACACAAACATCTCTCATTTGGTTTGGCTCTGGGCGGCAAAGTTAGCCGAGAGAGAATAGAAAATGAGAAAGATTGCAACTGCTTGAAAAGTAATTCTAGTGTGAAGGTTCTCGCACTAGAATTACTTTTCAGAGCTGCAATTTATTGGGCTGCATTGCTGGAGAGATAATTCTGAAGCTCTCAAATTTACTTGGGAAACGCTTGTCAAGGCGACATAGTGCCATATAGCCAAGTCCGTCGTGAGACAACTCTGCCACCTGGGTTGTTTACGCCTGACTGCTGGCTTTGTTCATAATCAAGCAGCGGTGAACAGCCCGTCAGCAAGGAAGATGCCGTCTCCGGGCCAACAATGTAGGAATGCGGGAGAATTGCGTTGAGATATGTTTAGTGAACGTCTATGTTTATTATTCTCTATTGGTTCTCAAACATTGATCATGGTGAAGATTTCGTATAATGTAATAATGGAGCACGAAGACCGTTTTGTTAGGACTCTGCACTGGCGCTGAACAAATTTGGGTTCAGTTATTAACCCCACACCTTAAGAGTTAGCCCCCTCCACCTGTTGTGATTCGGAAGCATTTGCTTTTATAATTCTCCGGCACGACGTATCAAAGTGGTTCGTAGCCATTTACGCGCGCTCACCATCCTACGGGGTTCTTCCCGGGCACAAGGTCTTTCCTCACAACACCGAGCCTTCACTGCAGGTCTTACCTTCTACGGACGACCATCACGGCTCGGTACCTCTTGTATTGTCTAGGTCTTTATTGGCAGGCTACTCCATCCAACAACCCCATTAACCGTCTACTTCGTATAAAATCTAAGCCGAGCGTCGGAGATGCCTCACGTCATACAAGTTCTCCAATCAGTGGGCCGTTATTTCTGAGTTTAGATTCACTCATTCGGAGCTTGTATGGAAACCATGTCCATCCCCTATCGTGACGGGCTTCATCCCATGGTGGCCCATTCAAGTACGGGAAGAAAGGAAGAAAGAGAAAGAAAATCGAAAAAATGAAAAATGTCCGAAGGGAGGCGATGATGTGACGATGTAGTAGGTGCGACAATCTAGCGTAAACCTTGAATCATATGAACGGCAACGAGACTTTTGTACAAATTAAATGTACAGGTGGCGACAACATTTCCTTGCGTCGCTAATAGGAGCAAACTTACCTGCACTCGAGAGTACGCGCGCCACCATGTATTCTTTAACACATCATTATTTGCTCCAGACCTTTGCCTTAGATAATCCCTCCCGTACTTGGTCTGCAGCAGCATTACCAGTGCGGTGAGGGAGTAACTTTCTTTCAAATATGCTGTAGCTCAGTTTTTGATTGCTGCCAGCGGCCGAAAGGGAGGCTCGCAAAGCTCGAAAATTTTCCACAGGAGCGAGGTAAACGGGAAGCTGGCATGCCTCCACATCCAGCTAACTCTATGGGTCAAACAGACCTCTCTCATTAGGCTTGGCTCTGCCGCCAAACAGTAGACCAAAGAAAGGGAAGAAGGTTCTCGCACTAGAATTACTTTTCAGAGCTGCAATTTATTGGGCTGCATTGCTGGAGAGGTAATTCTGAAGCTCTCAAATTTACTTGGGAAACGCTTGTCAAGCGTGACATAGTGCCACTGTAGACCACGTGCTTCGTGAAGACAACTGCACCTTTGATTATGCCTGTTGTTTGGCGTTGTTCATTTAGAGCGGTGAACAGCGTAGCAAAGAAAGATGTCTCCTGGCCAACAATGTAGGAATGCGGTTGTGATCTTTTCATGCGAAGTTCATGTTCCAATTTCCCCTTCTTCCTGGTGATCAGAATCTGAAAACGAGTTTGCCACAGTGGGTGACCATCAGCCTCGCACTGTTGCAAAAGTTCATGAAAGCATCAAAGTTGCGCATCGGAATACAATGGATAGCACCAGCAGCCTTATTCCCGTGTTCAGGCCCAAGCAGGGTTGATCCTACCGTCAGTACTTTTCGGAAATTTTTCACGACCCATCCCTCTCCATGGAGAATTTGATACGGCCCCACCATCACCATGCGAGTCAAGAGGCACCCTGGGCTCAAGTGTTCCGCTTCATTTTCACTCTAAGGCAAGAAGTTCTTCCCAGTTGCTTAGAAATCCGTTGAAGTGCTACACACGCTAATGGAATGAAAGAAAAAACAAAGCAAAAAAAGAGCATAAAGCGAAGTTACTGGAATGAAGTTTATGGTTAGATCACTAAGAATCACTCGCCGCCTTTGCCTAAAAATAGCATTTCGTTTAGGGGAACTACGAGGTACTGCTCCATTGCCACGCATGAAAAAGCCGAACAGGGCAGAATGGATGACTTATGGTGCTTGCTTTACATGTTGGCAGAACTTCGTGGCCCGCTACCGTGGGCAAACGCTAGGTACTTTTGAGAATAATGAACAATTCAGTCTATATTGTATTCACAAGCTACCTTTTAAGAACTTCAGATGATGATCTTCACTTACCAGTCACTGACTGCCACATTTCCTTTACTACTAGTTATTTTTTCCATAAAAGCGGGAAGTACGGAAAATCGTCGCCCATTGGAGCTGACACTAGGGGAATTAGATTGTGGACCAAAACTAAAAATTCAAGCAAAAACAGTCTGAGACTCGAGAAAAAAAAGAAATCCTTTTTGCTCGTTGTTTTCCGCTTTGGACGGCCTGTGATCAAGACGAGCTCGTTAGCGGTGCTAATCCCGATAGTCGGCTAACCATCAAAACGATCTTTTCATTAATAAGACATACCCTTCAATGACTAACAGATAGGCCGCCAAATATGAAACGTTCCTTCAAATTAAGCGCAAAACACACAATGGTGGAAGCGGGCCAAATCATCGAGCAGAGCTGAGCACTCTACTATTCTCAATGGGACCCCGCCCGTCTTTTATACGCATCATGCATACCTCCCCTTCAAAAAGCCAGAAAGTGTCGGTGCAGACCATACACCACAAGTGACGACGGCCTCCAGAAAATGCAAATGTTTTTTGCCAATGAAATGATTAACCTGTTACAGTTGTATTCGATCAGTTGACAGTAATTACAACTATCATTTACTAAAAATCAGCTATCACTATGAACCACTACTAACCAGATTTACTTGGAGCGTCGTCACACTTGTGGTGTATGGTCTGCACCGCACAATTTCTGGCTTTTTATGATGGGGAGGGTACCTTAAACAGACGCCAGACGGAATTAAGACGAACGCGCCTAGCTCGCTCCCAATTTCCAGAGAGAAGGGGAGGTTAGAAGCCCTGGACTGAGTCTTAAAGGAGGGAAACTCCGCCGGGTGGGTGCAGCCATTTCATAAGTGTGGCAATGTTTGAGAAGTGTGAGATCCACAGTGATTCTGTGAGCGTTTGATCACAGGACCGACATAATTCGGAGAAAGCGCAGACGAAAGCCTCCGATATGCAGCTCAAAGACTGAGTTCATGTGGTCCCGTCGACCCATTCGTACCACATTTATGGTCACATCACTCTTTTCGAAAATCATTACTTTGTTCTAAAAAATGTGATCGCTTTTTCAGCAAATTTTGGTATTTCTTATGCAAGCATTCATAAAAACAAACGAACTGTTAAAACGTTCCAGATGTTAAGCGACAAGAGGGAAGTGTACGAAATAAAGCGTCGAACAGAGATTGATGTGGTCCTCGAAAACTGCCCAGTTCAATTAATCAAATTCGCAGAACATCTAAGGTAGGATTTCTGAGTTATGACATGGTAATGAGCTGCGGCTTTTTACGAACTACTTTCAGCACTTTGAATTATTACATGCGTCCTGATTACTTGCTGCTTTATGAACTGTTGGTTGACGTCATGAGGGCAGGAAGGTTCAGGTAATTCCAACGCATAGTATTTTACATAGTCATTCGCAATCGCTTATCAACTACCAGCATAATATTAGGTCATCTCATTCAAACATGTCCAGACATCTAGAGAAATGGTGGGAAAAGTAAAAGAGCTAGAGCATTCTGCTTGCTTTTGTTTTGAAGCTAGCACACCTAGCTACGGTATACCCAATTAAGTTTGTAGTGCCGCAGAAGGATACACTTAAAAACATAAGAAAACTCATAGTGACCAAAATCGAGGCGGAATTTTCCAAATGATTGGTGACACACGTAAAATTCGCAACTCGAATTCTCTGTGTGCTGGCTCAACTTACGCGTGATACAGTGTTCTCGAAGTGCTACGTTGAAGATATGGTGTGAGAGCTCAAAGAAGGGAGAACGGAAGCGAGTTGTGGTTGAGGACGCGCTCACATTGTCCACCTTGCCAAGAAGAGCGGGTGGATGAAATGAGGTTTCAAATGGCGCATCACAGATGTTGAACCTTTGCGATGTTTGCCCACGAGACTTGCAGTCTAGCTGCAGCTGTTACGCGAATTGTGCCCAAAAATTGGGGATGGTCCACAGAACATGTTTTTGGATATCTCATTTACTCCCAGATGCAAGAGTCCAGAATCGAATTGGTGTCTGTAGCATTGACCTTCTCTGCCAATAACGTCATTTAAGAGTATCAAACTGGACCCTGCTCATAAACGAAATTTGAGTGGAATTGTACGCTGAGGCTCAAGTCTGAAGCGTCAACTTTGGATTAACGCGAATGAGGAACTACCCGAATTGGATCACGAAAAGTCACGTGGGTTCACGTGGATGATGATTAATGGCGATGGATTTCTGAGATGTGCCTCTTAAGCGGCTCTGTCGGGAAAAAACCTCCATCGGTGCTCAAGTGTATGGCTTGTTTCTTAGCGATCAAATTGACAAAGGAATAGCAGTACAAAACTACAATAACGATATCATCACCTATGTCGATGCCAGACCCCACATAGCTCATATTGCTCACGGGTATTTCGACCAAACGGATATTGTGACCTCTTCTTATCAGCCGTATTTTCCCAACTGCAGCCATGCGACCTCAGCTGTTTTATCGAACTGAACGCCCTACTCGTTGGAAGCGCTACGACAATTCGTTGATCATCTATACTGACATCAAAAGCATCTTGTCTATACTTGTTGAAATAAAGAAGCTGCGCGGTGTCCAGTGTTTTCTAGACGCTGGGATCGGGGTTTCAACAACAACAAGATCTGCTTGACTTCACACCAAAGTATTAGCTTTTTATCTTTCCTGCTGTTCATTTCTATTTAAAACCGTGGACATGTTTGAATGAGATGACCTAATATATTGCCAACGAAACCGTATAATATTTTGTACTTATGTG